TCTCTCTCTCTCTCTCTCTCTCTCTCTCTCTCTCTCTCTCTCTCTCTCTCTCTCTCTCTCTCATCTGTGCATGTGCATCATTGGCGAAGGAACGAACGTCGGAAATGCGGTCATGCTCCCTTCTCAAATGGCGAGCACAAAGTTTAGAGAGGATGACATTAGTATGTGGATTGTATTAAAAAAAAATTACTCATACTATTATATATCGTTCAATAAGTTTTCTTACAAGTTTTTTCGCACAATCGTTATGACGACATGCATGAATGACAGATGGAGATGAGTCATGAACAATGCACACGCGCAATGGAGATGGTCCTCAAGTATGCAAAGGAAGGCATTGACTACACAACTGAAACAGAGTTCGACGAATTGCGAAATTGCATACCATCATATTTCGATGTGCGCATTGATCGCGACATGACATTGGCACAGCCTGCTCATGACATCTCTCATGCTCTTGTTTTTTTGGAGAAACTAAGCAATGAGAATTTGAAAACTGAGGTTGTTCGAACAGACTTGGAGGAGAACATTGTATGTTATAAGTTTGATGACCTGGTCGATTGGTTGTACGAGCAGGTTGAAATAGACAAGTCGAAATCACAGACGTCGGGAGTGTATGATAAACGCACTTGGAAGGGGGATATGAAAAGGAAAGCGTTAGCTCATGGATATTTTATACCTGGTCGTCGTGATGTTCTGAGACTTGGATTAGAAAAGTTGTTTGCTCTTCTACACTTGCGAAGTGTTGTAGAGAAAGAGGACGTGCAATCTGTGTGCGAGTTGCCACGTGTGATTGCAAATGGTGGGAAGTACGTGATGTTGTCGCAGTGGACAAATTTGTGTCCATCATCCAGTCGTGCCCACATGTCTTTTAGTTATTTGGCTAGTATTGTTGAGATATTAGAAGGAGCCGAAGAGTTGTTGGAATACAATGCGATTGGATTTTCAGAGTCACAGTCYATAGCGGACAAGGCTATTGTGAAGTCCTTGGAGGCTCTTGCAAACACTRKATCGAATGAAGTACCACAAATTGTAAGAGAGTGTTGGGATGTTATGGSTGCARAATGCAGCGCAAGGGATGAAACATTGAAGTTGACATCCAACGAAGGACCAGGCAACACGGTCGTGGTAAACAGCGGAAGGACAACCCCTCTAACATGTATGGATTTTGCTTTGGATTACAAATATCAAGGTCCAAAGGCAATGGGATTTGGTGAAAGTGAGGATGAGGGAGAGAGTTGTGATGATGAAATGGACGACGATGACGATAACGACAGCCTGCGAAAATTTTGGGACAATCACGCGGACGGTTCATGTGATCCGCAAAAAGGATGGTGTCTCGCTGTTCTCCGTCTCCCGTTGACATTTGAAAAATGTCCTTCAACAATTTTGATTTGTTGTACGGACATCACAATAGACGGACACTTACAGTATGATTTTTTGTCGATACTTTCTTATTTGCATTCAAAAGGCAAAGATATTTCGAAAGGTGGAAAAAATTGGCAAGTGTTAGTCAGTAGAGAATTGGCGATAGCCGCATCAGAGAGTTTCGACGACGTGGCAAGTTTTCTCACAAAGGTAGGGATAGATCTTTGTTATGGTCAGAAAGAGAGAACGGAGAGTGATGACATCGTCTCGTGGATGCAGATTACGAATCCTGTGGCGAGGGAAGGTTTGGCGGGCCAAAAAAAAGAGAGCAGCGGACCTGTGAAGGGTAAGAGAAAGGCAAGTGGTGCTTGCGAGGAGGATTGAAGCGATCATTCTTCCGTTGAAAGTTTTTCATTTTTAAGCAGGATTGTGTTTCGTATATAATCCAATCTATGAACGACTTGTTTATGGTTTTTCAATTTGAAAATAGAAGTATTTTCATGCAAATCCAAAAACAATTTTTATGAATGAATTGCTTAAAAAATATTGTGAATGCGTCCTTTTGTATTAGTTGTGAAGAATAAATGATCGTCGTTCATGAATAAAGTAAACAATTAATATGTGACGGTCAATTTCATGTTTGTTGCATCAATGATGCAGTTGTATTACAAGAAGATAACCGTGGCGTATTCTTGACCATATGATACGCAAATATCGACGTACAGCAGGAATGTTGTCCCGTGCTACGATTGCGGCCGCATATTCAGTCGTACGAGCTTAATGGAGTCGCACAGATCGAGGGGGTGCTTAGCTGAGATACAACGTACTGGAACTACTGGTGATGCTAACGACATGAGTTCAGAGAACGAACAAAATGATAATGTCGTGAATATGGACATGCACGAAAATGTCGAACCAATCATTGATGATATTGCAGAAGAGGCAAACAACATAGACGAAAATGAATATACATCGGATTATCGACTCGCTGCAGTGATATGTTCTGCGAGAGGAGGGTTGGGATTGTCAGATGCAGATGTGAATGCCTTGCTCTCCGTTATATGTCACCCTTCTTTCAATGCTAGCCGACTACCATATAGAAATTCTCGTACGTTGAAGGGTTGGTTACGCGGAAAGCATGCAGACAAATTTTGGGAGCACATTGATATGAGGACAGATGATTGGCCGGCAGAAGCGAAGGCTAGACTTTGGGTGAGAAAATGGGATGTAGCATTTGAGACTGTGATTCGAGACGCACTGATGAACGACACTAACTATACACTAGAGGCAGACTCAACATGTCATAAAGAAAACATGGTGTTCACGAATGCGAAATCGGCACAGTTTGGAAAACAAGCACAAGGCATAGTTCGAAATGACAAAGGATTAGATCGAAATGGACGCGTAAGATATGTTCTGCCATTTATTTTGTATTCCGACAAAACGAATGTAGATGGTCGCATGAAAACAAGCATGTATCCTCTGATGCTGTCACTCGCTGATAAGCCAGAACGAGCAACTTTGCTCGCATACTTGCCAATTCTTCAGACTTTGCCGTACACACGAGGTTGGACTCATAGTTCATCTGCATTTGTTCGCTGCAAAAGGTGTGTATTCCATGAGAGTCTGACTATTGTACTGAAGGATGCAAAAAAGGTCTCTCATGACGGTATGGAACTTAACCTCCCGCGATACGGGGAAGTTACAGTACATCCGTTGCTGTTGAACTATGTGCAAGATCATCTAGAGAGATGTCTTCTGGCACCTGTAAAGAACGGCAGATGTCCAAATTGCATCGTACCAAACGAGAACTTACAGGAACATATGGACTGCAGCACGATTGTACGGACTGAAAACATGGATCGCGATATATTGCAGGGAGTACATGATGGTTCTGATGCTGACGCTCGTGTAGCAGCGATGAAGAGAGCGCTGTACTGGGGGATGCATAGTGACGATGTAATGAATGGTTTGTGAGCTTTTTATCAAGGTCGTTGCGGTGACATTCTGATGTTAGATTACCATTACGCACTGCAACCAGACCGAATGCACACAGTAGATCACGGTATTTTTTAATACATTGTTGAAGCCTTAAGGAATATATGCAAATCATTTCAGAACACCGTTGGAATGCTTGGAGAGTTGGATGCTCTTTTAAAGTGCGTAAGCAATCGAGGGAATGTCACATTTCAAAAGCTTATATTGCCGGTAACAACGGGGGTAGACTATTTTACACGAGAGGGACGATTTGAAGCTAAGCAAAATCGTGTCGTGATGACTGTCATGTTGTTCATTGTGCACAACTTCCTGAACAATGTAGAGGGACATAACTTTGTGAAGTGGTATGACATGTTTCTCGAATACTACATAAGCATGTTTTGCGTTGTTAAACACACGAAGCATTCCTTAGATAGATGTGACGCTTTGCTCGAAGACTTTATGACTTATACAAATATGCGTTTCAGACATTTGCAGAAGTCAAATTGGAATATAGTAAAAATGCATGATTTGAATAAATTCAGAATGGTTGTAGAACGATCAGGGCTCTCGAACACTTTTGCAGCAGACATTTAGGAACACAATCACATTCGTTTTTGCAAAAATCCTTATAAAGCATCAAATCGAAGAGATCCTTTAAAACAAATGGTGGACCACGTTGTACGAGCAGATATTTTAGAAGAACACGTATCCGTTGTGAGAAGGAAGAGAAACATAGAGGAAGAAAATTGGTCAACGGTCTTGGAGGCAGAGAGAACATGTCGTAACATAATTGCCACAACCGACATGGCCGTATTGAGATTGGGGTGGTTTGCTCTGAGCGATGATGATATTCTTCGTTGCATAAGGCCAACGTCACCAGAAGCTGCTCGCTTATTGTTAAACCTTCCACAACGACTTCAATTTCAATAATGTGTGCGTTCATACGTGACGGAGCAAAACCTCGGTGAAGTTCACGACCACAGTCATACGTCCCCGACCACATGTCGCACTTGCTTGCACACACGATGACTTTATTCAAGGAGCAGATGCACGAATCGCTAGAGCGACAAACTCGTTTCATGGTCGTCAGGTACGGAGTGATGTGAGTGTAAGGGGTCTTGATAACGACATTTGGTACGCTTCTGTGGCAATATTTTTTGTGCTTCAAACCACAAAAGGAGCACAAATGTTTAAGACGGAATGTGCATTTGTTCAATGGTACAAAGACTGCACGAGGAACTTCACAAATCGAACGTCATGTAAATTGGTGGAACGGGAGAGGAACAGAGGCGTGCAAATGAGTAGCATTATCGATATAGACAGAATAATTCAACCAGAACGTCTTGTACCATACTTCAAGCGAGCGGCGTTTAGTCATGATGTAGACCGAGCAACAATAGAAGAAGGTCTTTTTTTGGTCAACCGGTTCACAACAATTATATAAGACTGTCTCCAGATCTTCTTCTACTGGCTTATACGTTTTTATTATAAAATGCATCCTATTCTGCAGGTGTAAGTATTGTACGATAATGGCGTCGTTGCCTGAACGAGGTACAAATAGCGAAATAAATGAGGAGGGAGCAGAAAAATTCCTACACAAGACACCACACCGAAGGATAAGGGTAACCAGTGAACCGAAAACTGGAGATGGTGCAAGTGAACCGCAAACATGCAAAAGTAATGAGAACAATCCGGGAGAAAATAAAGGAGTTGTACGATCGGAAACGTGGAAAGGAAAAGGAGGCAGAACGGTTCGCAGCCACACGACCTCCAATCGCGGTCAAGTATTGGAAAAACAAGGAATGTCAAAAAACAAAGTTCAAGGCTGTGTAGAGAAAGCATCGACGTCAAAAATTCAGGAATCGAAACGTGTCAGAAATTTCACGGCAGCCAAGAAGACGGTACCGAAGTTCAAGAAAACATTGACGGACGAGACAATACAAAGGATGTACCACATACCTTTGTTGTCATTATCAGTAACTGTCTGGAATCTCATACCGTTGCCTATTGCTACCATTTCTCATTCACCAAGAAAACACAATCGAGGGATGTTAGAAAGTGACAGTGAGAAAGAGACATTTCGAGATATGCGGCATGAAAAAAAATTAGCAACACACGATAAACAATTGGAGAGATTGAGAGAGAAAGTGAAAGGGACAGAAGAGAGAGAGGGATGGGCGGCGGGGAAAGAAGTTATTGAAGAGGTCAATGTAGGAGAAGATTCCATGAAGTCTGTATTCTCACACATCTGCAAGAATACAAATCAAAAGAATACAAACGACGAAAGAGTGTCTGTAACACGTGAAGACCTCACTAGCACAGAGAAGTTCATGCACACAGTCAGAAAAGATGCAACACAGAATGATGAAGCAGTGTCGAGGTTAGAGTCATCTGCAATTGACAAGATCGGAGGAGACTGTGAAGTGAGAGTCAGCACAACAAGTCAACATATGATAACAGAAGAGCGAAATAAGGCAAAGACGAACCTCGATAGAGTGGAAACAAATGAGCAGCTGACGTTGCCGGCTTTGAATCTTGTGGGAGGCTCGGCTGACATTGCTGTAGATGACAAGTCAACAGTTGAGAACATGGAGATATTGTCAAAACACGAAGGAAAGACATCAGGGGGAAGTAACCCTGAGAGGTCACAAGAGTGTGAAGGTCATATGGTAACAGAAGAGCGAAATGAGGCAAAGACGAACCTCAATGGAGTGGAAACAAATTAACAGCTGATTTTGATGGTGGAATGTGAACTGCGTACGAGAATTGAAGTCGACCATGGAGAGACAGATTGTGCAAGACTTGCTCTACAACCGGCTTCAAATCTTCCGAGAGGCTCGACTGACATTGCTGTGGAGGACAAGACAACAGTTGAGAAGATGGAGATATTGCTAGAACACGAAGGAAAGACATCAGGGGGAAGTAACCCAGAGAGGGCGCAAGAGTTTGAAGGTCATATGATAACAGAAGAGCGAAATGAGGCAAAGACGAACCTCGATGGAGTGGAAACAAATGAACAGTCGACGTTGATGGTGGAATGTGAACTGCGTACAAGAATTGAAGTCGACCATGGTGAGACAGATTGTGCAAGACTTGCTCTACAACCGGCTTCGAATCTTCTAGGAGGCTCGGATGATATTGCTATGGAGGACAAGACAACAGTTGAGAAGATGGAGATATTGCCAGAACACGAAGGAAAGTCATCAAGGGGAAGTAACCCAGAGAGGTCGCAAGAGAAGGATGAAGGAACCGGAGTTGTAGTGTATTTGGATGCAGACACAGAGGAGGGTGAGGAAACACAATCTATGGACCAGAAGTTGGTGGCAGCAACTGTTGATATAGTTCACAAATTTTTTCCATTCACATGGAACCCCCTGAACAATGAATCATTCACATTAAGAGTACAAGATCTTCAATGTCTGAGAGCAGGCAAGTGGTTGACGACAAATATCGTTGACTTTTACTGCCATTACGTATATGACTCACTCACACGTAAGGCTGTTGACCTCTCACACGTTAAATTGTTGCCTGCTCTATGGTACAACGGAATCCAGGGGCTCCACAAGGACGCGAGTTTGAGCAGCCGTCCTGATCTGGAGACGGTAACACGAAGTTCAAAGTCGAAGGCGAAAAGCATGAGGAGTTTGTGGGAAAATCAAGTAGTTATTGTTCCTCTGCTATGCAATAACCATTTTACTATTCTCATGCTGAACAACATAGGACGCATGCTACAACATCCACATCTCGACCAACCAAGAGGCTGCGCCATTTTCCACCTAAACTCCAAGAAACGATTGGGCAATCCTCCGTTTGAACCTTTGTTAGCCTATTTCTTTTACGAACACATGACGTTACGGTATTCAGCTGATGTTGAAGTTACGACCGCGACCATTGAATTGACATGGAAAGCATTGATGCAAGGTGTATCTTTCATCGACGAGATTGATTGCCAGCAACAACGAAACTCAAACGACTGCGGTGTATTCGCCACGAGGAATGTTGAGAGCATTCTTTTGTGCATCGCAAACAACGAAGACTTCGAGTTCACGAAAGACACAATGACGAAGGCTTGCGAACGTTTGTCGTCAAGAAAGCCTTGTGAGCAACGACACATAATGATCAAGGCTTTGGCGGAGTCATACCCCGCGGCATGCGGAACACAGACAACAAATGACAAGTACGCTATTTTCAAGAAGTTTGCATCAAGCAGGAGGAAGGCATCGACAAAATGATGAAGCACGCAGTCGAAGAGGTGAGCTAAGATATGAACGTGCGGCGACTCGTAGATTTCGTTAGTTGAAACATAGAACAAGTACGCAAATGATAATAAAGACAAGACAAGGTAGGTGAAATTTTTAACATAAGTCCACAAATTTATCATTGCATATGTAATGTGAAAATAAGTGCTTTTTGTTCACGAAAAGCAGAGTCGAGATAAAGCCCTGCTGCTGAGATGAAATTTCACTAATGACAAATTTTTCATGTCCTATGTTACGTGTCTTCTTCCTCTTCACAGAATCGGCGAGCGATATAGACGAAGTACTTGCCACCAATGGACAAGCACACATTACCGCCTCGCTGAGGGCCTGATGTTACAGGGACATCGACGCAACGAAGGCTCTGCGTTCGCGAAGAAGGGGTGTCACGACAGCAGACGAATGTCGGTGCAGGTCTCGTACAGGAACGAAACAAAGTTCGAGATATAACACGACATGGAACATCTGAAGAAGTGAAGAGTGTACGAACAAGAACGGAGCGTTGGAGGATAAATTTGGTCGAAATGCACTGCGAAGCGAACAAACGAAAATTGCAGATGGAAAAAACAGAGAAGCGAGATAACGACATTGACATCCAACGCAGGGAAGAGTCTTCGAAGTGTACTCCGAAGTCGAAGACAGTACGCAGGAAAACGCTGGCCGGAGCAACCCCTCTTGCTCCAAGTAAGTATGTCATGGAAAAGAAACGGGAGCACAACAAGGGTGAAGCGACTGTTGTGGACAGTGCAGAAGTAGGAGAAAGCGGTGAGGATATCGAAGGCAGCATGCATTGTGGTCGGCAGGCGGGCGAGAGCAGTGGAGGTGAGCACATTGGAGGTCGCGACATTCAACACAGGCAATGGCATGTGGAACGAGAATGTCGACAACCATCATTGACAGAGTGCGAAGACGAGCAGCTGGAGCAAAAAGAAGCAAATACGGAAGAGGACGATTCAGAGGACGAGAACAACAGAGACAACGACGATTTTGGTGAACGTGAATCGAATGAAGACGAGGATGATGATAATAAAGACGGTCATGAAGAGGATGACGAGAACGACGCACACTTCACAAACGAGAAAGCAATAGGTAAAACATTGTGTGAAATTCTGTAAAGTTGTTTGTGGCATTAAAAAAATGTGGAAAAAAAAAACAACAACATTGAAAACGATTCTCTTGTTTGCATTCTCGCTTATGATTTGCACGTGCTTAATGAACATATAAAAGTGACCAGCATAATAATTGTGTTTTCCGTTTTTTTGTTTTGTTCTGTCTCTATGTGCTCGTCCTCTGTGTTTGTGCAGTTATGCGAGGACGCGAAAAAGGGGATGCGTCGGAGAAAAGCAAGCTGAACAACCGCATTAGTGACAACATCCACACGTTATACGTGCACTCCAAAATAGTGAAGCAATTGATGCGTTGCGTAGCGAAGGACTTTTGTTTATCCCGAACCAAGGATGCAGAGATGTATCCGTCAGTCGACACGTATCTCGAATCCTTCAGGGGTCTCACCGAATCTCTGGACCCGGACACACGATTCATCGTAGATCAGTCGATGAAGAGCACAACACCGACAACACTTCGCACACTCGGATCAAGGG